GCCGCGGCTGCGGCTTCGGCTGCGGCCGCGGCTGGGAGGGGGAAACTATCGCGAATATATCGCGGTGATTTTTCTTCTCCAGCCGCAGCCTCGGCTGCGGCTGCGGCCGCGGCCGCGGCTGGGAGGGGGGAACTACCGCGGAATTCCCGTGGTGGTTCGCCTCTCCCGGCCGCGGCCGCGGCCGCAGCCGTCCGCCGGGCGATTTTGTTTTTTTGACTTTGCTCTGACCCCCCCCCTCCTCCCCCGGCGCACCGACTTTCACTTTGACTTTAAAGTCAAAGTCGAAGTCTGGCCCGCCGACTTTGACTTCGACTTTAAGAGTCAAGGTGAAAGTCGCCAGGGGGACTTTGACTTTGACTTTAAAGTCAAAGTCGAAGTCCATTTGGCGACTTTGACTTTGAGGTCAAAGTCGAGGTCCCCCTGGCGACTTTGACTTGGACTCTGCTCTGCCCCCCCCAGGCGCGCCGACTTTGACTTTAACTTTGAAGTTAAAGTCAAAGTCACTTTAACCTTTAAATTCTGAAAATCTTCGTGCCCTTCCTCGTCATCAGCAGTGTACGAATAGTTGTTTCGTCTCAGCTCTGGAAGCAGACCGATCTCAGGCATCTAGATACTTCAGACCAGCGCTCCTGATGATTTCCTTTCGGTTGCTGTGCCAAACAGCTCTGTAGCTGATCTGCAGCTCGAAGTAAGTTGAGACAACCGACAGCACCTGCCCAGATGAGACTCAAGAGCCGATCCCGCCCATGTGCTTTTTGATAGTAACATCCACCAAATTGACCTGGAACTCCGAAATCCGCCCTCGAGATCCGCTGGCGTAAGGCAGGCCGAAAATCCGTTCTGAGATTTCTCTGGCTTAAGACGAGTCGAACCAATGGGTTCAACACTCGGAGAAGGGGGGCGCGAACTAAAAGTGCGTTCCGAGACGCCGTCCACACATCCTGGCGCTTGCGCTCGCCTCGCACGGCCCTTGGGGGGGGGGGAGGAAGCCCCCCCTAGGAGCGGAGGGTGCGGACCCGACCCATCTGCCCCGCAGCGCGCGGCCTCTCCGATGCCAAGCGGGCAGACGTCGGTCGGGCCCGTGGGGGGGCACCACCCCCCTCCCCACCCCCGGGGCGGTTGGGCGGGCCAACGACAGCACGTGGTCACTATGGACCTGACGAGAGGGCCCTTTGAACGCAGCAGGCCGATATGGGCCGCAACGAAGCCACTATGGGCCGAACGAAGCCACTATGGGCCGAACGAAGCCCTAGCAGGTGGAGGGCCGAAACCCGACAAACGGCACGTCATTTATATCCCGCCCCATTACCAGGCGGAGGAAGCACGGCGCGGCACCGCGCCGCACGACGCGAGCAGGAGGTGGAAGCGGGTCGGCCAGTGCGCGGCCGACCAGCCGAGCGAGGGCGCCCCCGCGGCCAGCCGCGGGGTCGTTACTAGCGCGGGCGGATTTGTGCCAAGCAATAGCTCCGTTATTCCAACCCCACAAATCCTGGCGCTTGCACTCGCCTCGCACGGCCCCGGGGGGGGGGGCCCCCCAGGAGCGGAGGGTGCGGGCCCGGCCCATCTGCCCCGCAGCGCGCGGCCTCTCCGATGCCAAGCGGGCAGACGCCAGTCGGGCCCGTGGGGGGGCGCCACCCACTGCAACGGCGCTCCCGCGGGCCACGCCCGGCGCTGCCACCCGCTGCCCCCGCGTGCCGGGGTGCGCCCGCGTGTGTGCCGTGCAGACGCGACCGCCAGACTGCGCGGGGTGCTCAGCCATCGCCATCGTCGCTGGGCGACTCCGCCAAGTGGGCTTCGAGGACCGATTGTCGCTCGAGCCGGGGAGCGTTTGCATTTCATCCACGCGGGCTGGCGCCAGCCGCCCGCGCGAAGAAGGTCGAAGACCGGTCCGCCCCTGGAAGCACTGTCCTGCGCGTGCCCGCGCCTAAACGCGCGAGTGCCGAATGGCTCTGCGTCGTGGCGCCTCATTTCGCCCAGCGCGCGGCGCAGCCGAGCACGTGCCGCGCCCGGGGGCCGCGCAGCCCAGATGGGCTGGTGAGCTGGCTCGCCAATTAGCCAGGCCCCAAGAACGTGCGCGGGACAGGTGGCCGCGCGGCCCGCGCACGGCCGCCGAGCTTTCCAAGCGAGCATTGCTGCTCTATGCTGCTCTTTCGGCCAGTTGCAGAGGCGCTCGCGCAATTCTCGGGCGAGGTGGCCGCCGGGCGCCCTGGATTACGACGAGTGCATGCTGACGCATGGGCTCGGTGGCGGGCGGCTCGAACTTCAGCGTGTCATTGTGCATGGGCGTCTTCTCTCTGTGAGGTGGGCCACTATTTGTCCGTGCGGCTGTGGGCTAATGACTGATTGCACCACCAGCGCTGCGCTGGTGTCAATGGCTGTTTCGGCAACGGGTGGATCGGCGACCCGCGCGTTGTTGTGTTCGTGGCCACCTGGGCCCTCGTTCACTCCATCGTGTACGTGGTCTAGTGGGCCCTCGTTCCATGAGGCTCCCGCCGCGCGCGTCCACTGAATGTTTGCCGATCCTTTTTGTTCCTCCTCCCCTTTTCGCTTGATTCTTGTTCTCTCTCTCTCTCTCTCTCTATTTTCCCCCCCTCCCGTGCCAGGCCTCGCCATGGAAATCCAGTGGTGCATAGTTCCTGCCCTGTCGCAGTGTCGTTTTGTGGAGCGGGTGACAATTCCGGCGGGGAGGGGCACGATGCGCATGCGGGGCAGTTTGAACAGCGGGGCACCTGCGGCCGTCAAGGCCCAGAACGCTCGGTAAGAACGCAGTTTCTTACTCGTTCCCGCTTCCTCCTGCCCCCCCCCTTGGCAACGTGTTGTCGCTTTGGCAGTGCTGGCCGACAGGACGGCGAGTCCGCTGAATGGCCACGCGCGGTGCGAGCGCGCAGTCGCTCCCCTCCTCTCTTCCTCTCTGTCGTCGTTGGTCGTGTCCTCTTTTCTCTTCCTCTTCCTGTAGATTGTTGCCGTTTCTTCTTCCTCTGGCTCTGGCTGGGCAGTCATAAGGGCTGCAAGTGGGGTATTGTTTGATCTAAGATTTGACTGCGCGTTTGTGCCTGGCCGCCGTCTGTCACAGCGGATGATGTCCTCGGATGTTATGCGATGCGTAACCCCTCGTTGGCAATACGGCTTATATGTTACCGTGAGTTTTGGCTATATTCCAGTGTGCGCCTTTGTGCCTCCCCCCTCCTCCTCCTCCTTCTCCTCCTCCTCCTCCTCCTCCCCCTCCTCGCTCTCCCCTTCTCCGCCTGGTTTCACCGATACGACATGGGGTCAATTCGTATCGCTCCTCGTTTGCATGGAGGTTTTGTGTTCTTGGTTCTGTGCTTTTCCTCCGTGTCCTCCTCTTCCCTTCGTTGTGAACGGCGCGTGGTCGCCCGTGTCCATGCCCCGTGCCCCGGGATGCACCGTGTTTCAATTCATCGTGTTTTTTTCTGTCAGTTTTGAGCCTACCGCCGCGCAGTGACCATTCACATGCGCCATCGCTCGCAGGACAGCCCACCTAGGTGATTTGACGCTTCATTTGCACGGCGTTTGAGGTAGCTCACTGGCTGCATGCTTACGTCACGGAGCGTGTCATCGTTTCGACTTGTCAAAAGAAAACTACGTGATGCAGGGAGTGTGATGCATCCATTCCCCGCGCATGTGACCACATGTATAGACGATGTGCTTGAAGGGAGTCCTCGCGAGCTGGTCACGCCACCCTTCCGTAACAGGAGAGTATGTCACGGTCGTGGCCGTGCCTTTTGCGCGAACGAAAGGTTGGTTTCCCACCATATTCGTCTAGGGCAGGCTTGCGCCGCGTTGACACGGCGACGACCCCAACGCACGCGTGAAAGGTTGAATGCCGCATCGGCCCCGGGTCGGGCGATATGTCGGGCGATGTCCGGGTATCTGCGGAGGTTGAATGATGCATGCGGTGGTAGAGACCGATTCTGGCGCCATCGCGACGCCAACCTGCCGTAGTTATGCGAACAACGGCGCGCCAACGACTCATAAGTAGGTAACACGCTATACAGTCGTGGTTTTTACAGCTTGAGGTCACATACTTTGTCCTGGTAGCAGCTTCTCACCAGGCAGGCGAACGAATGGTGACCCAAGGCCCTTTGGTTGGAATGCCGAACTGCTCCAGAGCGGGGGCGTCGCCTGACGTCGCAGAAGAAACCGCTGTGAGTGGCAGGGGGTGTCGAGGCGTCGTCAAGTTTTGCCGATGTGGTGACGTGTGGTGTCGTGCGGTGCCGAGTCGGCGTCGTGTGGAGTCGCGTGGCGTAATTTGTGCAATGTCGTGACGTCTTCAAAGGGTTTCCACTGTAGACTCAGTTTTTGCCGTGTGGAGATAATGCGGTACGGTATCATTGTGTGTTGCGTGGTGTTGGGCTGTATTGAGGTGCGCCGTGGTGTAGTATCAGTGTTGTGCAGGCACGTTTGGTACCGTTTTTTGTCTCGTGGCTCTTTCTGGTGTAGCGGTGTGCCATGTGTATCTCGTTCAATATCTGGTGATGTCGGGTTGTGTCGCACGATGTTGTGACTGTATTGTCGAGGCCATGTTTGTGCAGGTATTGCGGTATCGGTGTCACTGCGTCTCGCAGTGTCGTCGGGAGTACAATCGAATATGCTTATGTGCACTTATGTTTTTACATGGTATTCGCATGTGGCACCGAGGAATGCCGAAAAGTAGATCAAGTGTAAAGCTACCATGAACATGTCCAAACCACATATGAGCCGCGCGTCGAAACACAAGCGAAAACACATGCAAGACATGCGTGAAGCATGTCGACGTGATCCCAGGCAATCCCACTACCAATGATTGTCCTTGTCGTCGCAATGCTGGTTTCATCTTCGATTTATCCACAGATCTTATTGGCTGAGGCATTGGCTCGTTGCGAGCCCTTCAGCTGCAACGATTGCCACCCAGAGTCTGAGACCTCCGCCGCGGGCTGCGCCGCGCCTGGAGCGCCGACGGCGCTGCAGCGCCGCCGCCGGGCGGCCCAGGTCGGTGTGCGATGGTTGCCATCCCACTGGGTGCCTGCTTGATGCAGGGTGACTTGCTCGACGGCGTCGTAGAGTCTACGCTGCGCAATATTGCCGACCAGCTCAAGGCAGAGTTCCGGAAAGAGCTCGGCAAGGCGCTGGACGCCGCAGCGATGGAGGCAGCCGATGGGTCTGGCGTCGATCGCGGTGATGCCCCCCCGGTCTCTGTGCCTGGCTTGAATATGCCAGCAAGGGCTGAGCTTGCGGGAGATCAGGCAGGGGGGCCCGCTGAGTCCAAGGCTGCCCATCGTTTTGAGTTCCCTGCCATGGAGGACTCGGACGGGATCGAGTCCATGCGGCTCTCCCCCGGGCGGTCGATCCAGAAGGCCTCATCGACTCCGAACGCCTGGAGGGAAAGCGCCAGGATGGTGTCCTGCGGGGAGTCGGTGGCATCGGCCGAAAAGTCGCGGACCAAGCCAGCTCTGACTGAGCAGGACCAGGCGGAAATAATGCGCATCAGAGCAGAGGAGATTGCGCGGGCGGAGGCCGCAGAGAAGGCAGGGAGAGATTTGGGTTTATCGATGTTCGACCAACCCACCATCGACGAGGGCAGCCGATGCAAAACATTATTGTACAAGCTGATCGCAAGCCCGAAATTTGATTTTGGTATGGGCGTCGTCATCATTCTCAACGCCGTGACAATAGGCATGGAGACCTCCATATCGCGGCATGGAGATACTATTCCGTTGTCTCTGCATGTCTTGGAGTACACGTTTCTTCTCCTCTATTGCGTAGAGTTGGGAATTCGAGTCCACGTCGGTGGACGACAAGTGTTCTTGAACAATTGGGTAAAGTTTGATGCTATGATGGTGGCTGCAGGCACTCTCAACGTACTCCTCACGGTGACATCCCTTGGCGGTGACGCAGCAGCTGGTGTGGTTGACAATGTCAACATGCTAAAGATGATTCGACTGTTTCGCCTTGCGAAGACTGTGCGGGTGCTCGTCCAGTTCCGCACTTTGTGGATGCTTGTCCAGGGGCTAATGTACGCTGTCATGCCGATGTTCTGGACGGCCATCCTGATGACTGTTGTGATCTACGTGTTCGCGGTCATAGCTATGGAGACTATTTCTGTCTCGGATGCGGATGGTGATTCAAATTACAGCATTGCTGCGCACCAGTATGACACACTGGGTGGGTCCATGCTGATCCTGAGGGCTCCACGCCGTTCCGTCGAACCCGAGAAATGGGGTTCGTGACTACGTGCTGGGTTGCCTGGGTGTCCTAGGAAAGGCAACGCGTGCGAAGAGTAAGCTGTAGTAATGTTCAGAAGTTCAGCAAAGAGTTGCAAGACAATCGCGAAAATGGAAGAGGAAGCGGGGAAAGGAGGGGAGGCGTATCAGGAGGAGCAGGAGGAGGAGCGAAGGAGGTGACGGGTAGGGATGGCATGCTTTTTTCGTGGCACGCGCCCGTGGGGCCTCTCGACCATTTCCGATGGATAGTTTTTTTGTGTCCTGAGTAGTCTTTTGAATGTTCTGGGGCCCGAGACGGGCTTCCAGGTGCCAAAATTGTGAACATCGGATCCCAACAACAACTACGTAAGCGTCAGCTTGGATCGACGTTGGCGGCCCTTTGCGGCGCCTCCTGCGCGGCCCCCCTGGCGCGATCCGCGCGTCAGGGGATAAGGTCCAGCGTCGACCCAGGGCATCTGTGCAGACCGTTGCAAGTCTGTGTCTGCGCCTCTTCTCTTCCTCCGACAAAAGAGTGAAGCGTCGGCCGTCCGGAGCCTCGAACGGCAGGCCGGCCGCGTGCTGCCGTGCCAGCCTCGGTCGGCAGAGCGGGGTGCGCACGGGCGCGCGCACACCCTCGAAGACTGGGTCTGCGGATCTTCGACGCTTGCACGGCCGTAGGTGGGCGAGTTTTTTTTTTTGGTGGGGGGGTCCCTTCGCGGGCGGGCGCTGGTGGGAGGAGGGCCAGAAGGAGTGATAGGAGGAGGGAGGGTTGAGGAGGAGGTTGAGGAGGAGGAGGAGGAGGTGGAGTGGAGGACGATGAGGTGACAGGAGGTGGACATGGAGGTGGAGCGACGGATGTACATGAAGATGGGTGATGGTAAGGAGGGGGACAAGCAGGAAATTAATGTCGAGGTGGATGTCGAGGTGATTTTAATGATGCATAATGATGCTGCTGATGATGATGAGGATGAGGAGGAGGACCACTGAACCCAAGACTCATCGACGATACTGAAATAAACCCTCCCTCCAAGCTTCATCTTCAAAGGCCCTTCAAGGATTCATTTCCACTGGTGGAAGTGAGCCGTTGAAGGACAACCGTATGAAGATCCTTAAGCGTTTCACAGCCATATTCTCGGGACTGCAACGCCACGCATTTAACTCGTGTCAGAAAACCATTCTGGGACGTCAACGCTGCGAATCAACGTAACTGTTGTGCCCTGACAGTTCTGAATCGCTCCAAGGCATCATTTCTGGTTCATTAACCATGGGATTCCGTGAAACTCTTGCACCTGTTTAAGCCGAATGTGCGCGGCGCTGAGGCGAGAACCACATTGGTAAATGGAGCCGTTCTCAATAAGTGAAGCCGTTCTCATTCCGTGAACCTCTTGCAATTTTTATGCGAACGCGCGCGGCGCTAAGGGTAGGGCCGCATTTTGAAGTCGACCCGCTCTGAATCCGTGAAGCTCTTTCACATGTTTAAGATGAATGTGTCAGCGCTAAGGCGATAACCATATTTTGATTTTGAAAAGTACCCGCCCTCAATCAGTGAAACTCTTTGCAAGGTTCAAGACGACTGTTCGCGGCGCTAAGGCGAGAGCCACATGACGGACACCACCCGGCCACAATCAGTGAAACTCTTGCACATTCTTAAGATGAGTGTGCGTGGCGCTAGCGTGATGCCCACGTTTTGAAAGCGACCCGCCCTCAATAGGTGAAGCTCTTGCGAACATGAAAGACGAATGTGCGCGTCGCTAAGATGAGAGCCACACTATCTAAGCCACCCGCCCTTCCGGAATTCAGTATCAGAATTTGTAAGGCGGTCTCAGGCGAGACGCCGGGCCCGCCCTTCCGACTGGCCTCGGTGTGCGCTTGGGAGGAGGTGTCTGTTAGAATAAGGAATGGAGGAGGGATCTTCTTGCGTCCCCCTCTTGAGGCTCTTGGGGCCCTAAGCCCTCTTAGGCCTCTCCTGGGGCCTTTGTGGGCCCTCCCCTGAGCGTATGCAGGGCTTTGCTTTTCCACACGCTTTCTTGGTTGGGTGCTTATTTTGAATAACGCACTTCTCGCCCGAACTTTTCTCCCGCCTCCCTTCTTCTTCCTCTCCTTCCCCTCCTGCCTCGTCCTGCCTCCTTCTTCTCCTCCTCCTCGCGGCTCCCTGGGGGGCTGCCAGCTACGTAACTGTTGCCACTTTCGTGGGCTCCTGGGAGGTTCAGCGGGGTGTGGTGTCATGCAGACATTCGCCGAGGCTTAGCGGTTCCCTCGGGGGGCTGCGCACTGCGCCAGTGTCGCCACTTTCGTGGGCTCCTGGGAGGTTCAGCGGAGTGTGGTGTCATCATTCGCCGAGGCCTCGCGGCTCCCTCGGGGGGCTGCGCACTGCGCCAGTGTCGCCACTTTCGTGGGCTCCTGGGAGGCTCAGCGGTGTGGGGTGCTCCGCAGACCTCGCCGAGGCCTCGCGGCTCCCTCGGGGGGGGGGGGTGCGCACGGCGCAGCTGCCGCCAGTCTCGTGGGCTCCCCCGCTTGCCCTGGGCCCCGTTCCTCGAGGCCGCAGTAAGACGGCCCGAGTGGTTCGGGCGCTGTTCTCGAGGAGCTCCGCCCTCCTGCGGGGGAGGAGGAGAAGGAGGAGGAGGAGCAGGAGGAGGAGGAGGAGGAAGAGGAGGAGGAGGAGGGGCTTGGAGCCTGCCAGGCTGCGTGGCCTGCCTCCCAGTCTTGTCCAGGCCTGTTGCCTCGCCCTCGTACTTGCGGGAGGCGTCGCGCGGCCCCTGCGGGGGGGCGGTCGCGGTTGGGCGCCGCGTGCCCCGCCGTTGCTGCGAGCTGTCGCCCAGCCGACGCCATCGACAGTGGCGGCTGCCGCCGGGTCCGCGCTCGACCGCTGTGGCGGGAGCAGCGGGGCTGAAGGTAGCGGCGGGGGGCTGGTCGCAGCAAGCGGGCCCGCGGCTGAGCGGCGGCAGCGGGGTCGGCCGACGAGGGACACGAAGGGACGGGGCAGAGCGCGGCAGCCGGTGCCAGGGGCGCAGCGGGCGCATGCGGGAGGGCAGGAGAAGGAAAGACAGCGGGCCGCAGAGGTGAAACAACAGAAAAAGAGAAGAGGAGAGGGGGCCTCACGCGGGGTCGGCCTGGCGCGAGGGGCGGCAACCACACGCACCTACACACATACACTTACACACACTTCCACGCCCACACGTACACACACTTACATGCACACTTACACACACTTGCACACATTTGCACACTGTCACACACACACACTTCACACACACACGCACTTACACACACTCACTTACACACACACTCACACACATACGCACACGTACACACTTAGACACACACTTACACACATTTATGCACACTTACACATACACAGCCTTGCACACACTTACAAACACTTACCTACACTTACACACACTTGCGCACACTCACACACACCTACACAACAAGACACACACCTACACACACCTACACACACCTACACACACCTACACTTGCACACACTTGCACACACTTACGCACATTTACACACACTTGCACACACTTGTGCATTTCCACACACACACTTACACACACTTACACGCTCTTGCACACAGTTAGACACACATTTCTACACACTTCTACACTGACACAAACTTACACACACGTACACACAATTACACACACTTGCACACTTACACGCACTTACACACTTAGACACACTTGCGCAAACTTACGAAGACTCACACACGCACTTCCACACGTACGCACACGTACACACATTTTCACACATTTGCGCACACTTGCACGCACTCACACGCACACTTATACACACATTTGCAAACACCTGGATACACTACTTGCACACACTTACACACACGCACACAGCCACACATGTATACACACTTGCACACACCCACACACACTCACACACAGTAGCGCACACTTACACACACTTACAAACAGTTTGACACACCTCGTCATACTTATACTCATGCGCTTTTGCACACACGCACACACACGTACACACATTTATACACATATATACACTCATTTACACACACGTACACATGCTTCCACACATTAGCACACATCTACGCACACACACAAACACTTACACACACTTACACGCACTTATACACACACGTACACACACTTATACACACACGCACACATTCACACACACACACGCACTTACACACTTACACACACTTACACGCACTTGCACACACGTACAATTAATTACGCACACTTACGCGGACCTACACACACTTACGCACAGTATACACATACACACTCTTACACATACTTGCACACCCTTGCACACATTCGTAAACACCAACACACATACACATACTGTCACACACTTACACACGGTCACACACACTTACACACACGCACTGACACACACCTCCACACACTTACACCCGCCCACACTCACACTTTCACACACTCTGCACACACAGTCGTTACCATACGCTCCCTGCGTACGTATATATATATATGTATATATATATATATATATATATACAAGTGGCACGTGTTTGCCCAGGCTCATACAACAAGCTGAAGGGGCGTTTGAAGCAGGAGTGACATGCAACAGCGAAGTCGCACTCGAGCGCAAGTGGGGTTGCCACACCTTGCGATGTGTGTACCAGGGCCCCCCAGGAAGCCTCAGGAGGCCCGACTTGGATACCAGAAGAGGCTCCAGGAGGCCCCAGGATTGTGAGTGTTGTGTGTGTGTGTGTGTGTGATGTGTGCTTTGTGTGGTGCGTGCTTTTTGTGTGTTGTCGGTGTTGTGTGTGTGTGTATGTTATGTTTGTCTAGCGTGTGATGTGTTGGGCGTGATTTGTGTCTCTGTGTGTGCATGTAGTTCTGAAGCCCCAGGAGGCCCCAGGAGGCCCCAGGCGGCCTCAGCAGGCCCAGGAGAACTCCAGGAGGCTCCGAGGCGGGGTCTGGGGTACCAGAAGGTCCAGAAAGCCCCAGGAGGCCCCAGGAGGTTCCAGGAGGCCCCCAGGAGGCTCCGAGGAGGGGTCTGGGGCTCGATTTTGGGAGGATGTCTCAGGCGAAACCGCCATTCTCTGAGAATCGGGGTCAACATTATTGAAATTACCATGTGTTTTTGAAGGTTTTATGTTAAAATGTTGAAATTCCCATGTGTTTTTGGACCCTGACGTCACGATCTGCGTGAGGGGTGCCACCGATTTTCAGAATTTCGAGGATGTCCCGAGCGAAACGGCCAGACAAATCGCGGACGACGTGCGCATTAATCGCCTCTGAGCCTTACTCCCTCGGAGAGGTGCGTATGAGTATATATATATATATGTATATATATATATATATATTCACTGCCTTGGGCAGTGTATTGACAATCCACAGCTGTTTGTGTTGAGGCATCCTGCATGTTCAAGGCATTTGCTGATTGTGTATACCGGAGCTCTTGACGCCATACATTGTGTGGTCATCTGGAGCTTTCGACCCCATGTAGCAATGCAGTGTGGCAGGTAGCATGTGGGTAGGTAGGTAGCATCAGCAGTGTAGCATATAGTGGAGAGAGTTGGACTGCAGCCCTCTGTGGCCCGTGCGCTGAAAAGGGCCCGTGCGCATCCGCGCGCGCTCCGACATGGTAGCGGAGTTGTGGTATGCTTCCTAAGGGCCACCGCAGCTCCGGAGGACCTTCGCCTTGCGGCTCGGCAGCCGCATCCTCCTCCAGGACTGGGGACGACCCTCGGTACCTGGCCGGCGCCCCCTGGCGCCACCAGCCGCGGCCGCAGCGCCGCGCCCAGCCCGGTGGTGAGGGCCACCCGTCTGCCCACGATACGGGCCGGAACGCGAGTGCGGCTCAGGAGCCGTCTCAGCGTCGCCGCGGAGAGCGTCGGAGTGTGGAGGCTAAGGAGCTTCGCCACCGACGCCGGGTCACCAAGCTGATCCTGAGGCGCGACCCGGACACCTCAGAGGCTTTGGCGAGCAACCTGGAGGCGAGGCGCTACGCTGATCTGGGTATCAGCGTTGAGGACACGCCACTCCAGGAGGACAGGCAGCGAATCGCCACCGCCAGGTCTGAGCCGCTGCGGCGCGCCGTGGTGGAAGGCCGCCCATACTTGGACCGGGAGGGCGAGCCGGACCAACTCTCGGGCGAGCTGCTGGAGACCAACAGCGAGCAGTGCCAGGAAGTGGTGCGCCAGTTCTGTCTCGTGGAGCAGGCTGACACCTCGACGCTTGTTCGGCTTGCGCGAGGCGAGGTAGAGCAGCTCGTGTCGATCCAGGAGAGGCGGGGCGTGCTCCCTGACGGCGCAGTGGCAGACGCTCTGCTCGGGGACGTCGGCCGCGCCTTGGAGAACAGGCGAGCTTCTATCTCCTAGTGGGAGCGTCGCCACGCTGACGCGGGAGAACTCCTCGAGTTTCTGGACGAGATTCAGGAGGAGCGCAGAGCGGCTCGGGAAGCTGCCCGCGTCCGTTCTCGTTCTCGTCAGCAGCAATGTACGGTCGAGGACCTGCAGAGCCAAGTCCGGCAGCAGGCGGGCCAGATCACCGAGCTGGTGAACGCAATCGAAGAGTTGCGTGCCTCGCCTACTTCCGCTTCAGCTTCCGCCCATGTCGAGATATATCGCCCCCGGCGCCCTTCCGTGCCTCCCCTACATATCCCTTTCCCGCTCTCACCCATGCACTGTGCTGAAGCCGTTTTGGCGCTGAGGATTTGAGAGTGAAATGGATCGGCATCGTTTATTGCTGTCAAGATGGCAGCGGAGCGCGGGTGACACCGACCCGCAGATCCACGGAGATCAGCCTCCCCGCCTGTGAGGCGGCTGACTGGCCGCGATGAGCGTGGAGGCTCTCGCGCAGGAGCTATTGGAGACGAAACGAGAGCTCGGCCGACTGATGGAGACGGTCGAGAACCAGAACCAGACGATCACAGGGCTCCAGACGGAGCGAGCCGACGCAGATGCAGCGAGTCGGCAGCAGTCGACGAAGGCTTTCGCCAACGCGATTATCGGAGACAAAGGGAAGCCGCCGACCTTCGACAACACGAAGAAGCTAGACTTCCACGACTGGGCGTTCAAGTTCAAAGCGTACATCGGCAACCAGAGTCGGAAGTGCTTAGAGGGAATGACCCAGGTCGAGTACAGCCAGAACCAGCTGAACTACGCCAACTACGATGACGAGTGGAGACAGATGGCGCAGTCGTTGTTCTACCAGCTCACGATGTATACGGAGGGCGCCCCGCTCGGCATCATCCGCAAGGTCAGTAACCAAGACGGATTCGAGGCATACCGCAGGCTGAGCTCCCAGTATGACCCTCAGAACATGGGCAGCATTCTATCGAGACTGATGAGGGTGCTGGAGTTCGACTTCGGCGGAGAAGCGGATTTCCTCGACAACATGGCGAAGTTCGAGATCTCGATCGAAGAGTGCGAGAAGCTGGCGAGCGAGGCCCTCAGCGACAACATCCGCTCGGCGGTCCTGATCGCACGAGCCCCTGAGGCCTTGAGGAACCACGTGCTGCTGGGGACACCCAAGGAGGAGATCCAGTGGGCGAGGATCAAGAAGGTGGCCGCCGACTTCCTGCTCACGAAGCAGTCCATGCCTGGTGGCCCTGCGCCGATGGACATCGGCGCCATCAACAGCAAGGGCGGAAGAGGATACGGCAAGGCCAAAGGCAAAGGCAAGGGCAAAGGCGACGACACCAGAGGTAAGGGCAAGGACAGGAGCAGCGGCGGTGGCATCGCCGGCGGAGAAAAGAAGGACTGCTACGCCAAGATCCACAACGTGAGCACCTGGGACGGCAGTGGCTGGGACGGCAACACCTGGGACGAGAAGTGGGCGAGCTGGGACACCACCAACGAGAAGGAGAAGGGTGCGGCCTCCTCCCACGAGGACGCCAGCGCCTCCATCAGTGCCAACGCCCTCCAGTGCTCCGAGTGCGAGGACGCTGCGTGGATCTTCGCCGTCGGCGCGCTTGAGGGCCCGAGCGGAACAAGAGTTGGCCAGACGGTTGACATCATGGTGGACACTGGCGCCAACAAGTCGGTGTGTGGGCCCAGCGACTTCCCCGACTACCCCACTAGCAGAATGACGACGAGATCAGTGTGAGATTCCACGTCACGGAGGTGACGCAACCGATCCTGAGTGTCAACAGCATCAACAAGGCAGGAGTTGGGGTGGAGTTCCCACCGCCAGGCTCGACGGGCCCACCCTCGATCACGCGGGACTCGAGGAGCGGGCGATCGCGGCTTGGGCTGAAGAGGAGGCTCGGCCTGTTCTTCCTGCGCGCGACGGTGATGAGCTACGTCGGCACCAAGATCGGCGCGGACGACCTGGTCGTCTACAACACGGCGACGGGCGTCCCCGAGGAGTACATCGCTGCGCAGGTGGACCAGCCGATGGAGCAAGAAGTCAGGCCCGAGGCTACGGTGATGACGGCCCCAAGGGAGCCGACACGAGCCGAGAGGGAGGCTCACGAGGCCCTCCACTGTCCATACGCAGCGTGGTGCGCGGACTGTGTAGGGGGGCGAGGCCTGGACGACAGGCATGAGAGGATCAAAGAGGTAGAGGGTGTGCCTGTGATCCAGATCGACTACATGTTCGGCAAGACGCATCGTGACGAGAAAGTGCACCCAGTCATGAATGCCATCGACAACGTATACCACTCTACGGCCTCGGTATGGTGCGAGGCGAAAGGTGGAGGAGACCTGTTTCTCCTGAAGTGTCTCAAGCGGTACGTGGAGAAGCTCGGGTTTGAGAAGGTTATCATCCAGTGCGACCCCGAGAATGCGGCCAAGGACGTGGCGGCCAAGGTTGCGAGGGACATCGGGAACAACGCGACCTTCAGGTACACACCGAAGACGAGCAAGGGGAGCAACGGCATGGTGGAGAGGTTCCACTCGTTCATCGAGGGTATGACGAGGACCTGGAGGAGAGCCATTGGGGCAAAGTACGGTATCGTGATCGAGTTGAGGCATCCCCTGATGGCCTGGCTCGTGCGCCACGCATCGTGGACCCGCGATCGCTTCCTCATCCACCGCTCCGACTACAAGACGTCCTACGAGCGTCAGCACGAGAGGCATTATGCCAAGAAGGTTCTACCACTCGGCGAGACGGTTATGTGGAGGCAACCTGGGCCTATCGCCGCCAAGTTCGAATCCGCGTGGGGATGCGGCATCTACCTCGGGCGGTCGTTGGAGGGCGACTCCCACATCTGCGGCACCAGGCGCGGCATCGTCGTGGCGAGGTCCGTGCGGAGGCTCGTGGGGAGCGAGCGCTACGACAAGCAGCTGCTCCTGGCCATGAAGGGCATCCCGAGCGACACGAAGGCGCCGAATGCATCCACGCCAGTGGCAGACAGACCAGCCCCCGACCTCAACCTCCCGCAGCCCGCCAGGCTTCCGCGACCTGCGGGCGCCGCGCCCGAGGAGGGGCAGGCAGGCCCCCAGGAGGGGGAGGTGAGGTTCGAGGAGCCGCAGGAGGGGGGCCCAGGCGGCGCCGAGGCAGCTGCCGACGGCGACGAGGCCATGGACGACGTCGAGGACGCACCACAGCCCGTCGCGAAGAGGCCGAGGGGCCGACCAGTTACACGAGTGCTTCCAGACCCGATTTCAAGAGAGTTTACCCCAGGCTGTAGTGGATGCTTGGGCACATCGTACCGTCATTCGAACTTCTGTCCCGAGAGGAGGGGGTTGCCTCCTAACGAGCCGCGTGGCAAGCGGGCCGCGGCAGAGAGCGCAGCTGCACCTGAGGTGAAGCGTGCAGCAGTCGAGGAGCCTGAGAGCTCGGCTGGCAAGCGGGCCGGCGATGAGGCGCCTGCGGAAGGCGAGGCGCACAAGGAGAGGAGAATTGGTACGGTGAAGGTTGGCAGCGTGTCCGTCGCCAACTTGATGGGCTACCCCGACGACGCCGAGCTCTGCACGCCGTGCGAGCTCGACCCCAACTTCGAGCTGCTGAGCGAGGCGTACTACGACGACGACGACGGTGAGTGCCTCGACCCCGACGCCGTCCGCGAGGAGATCAAGAGGGAGGCGAACTTCATGGAGTCCCTCGGCGTCGGTGAGGTCGTGGCGCGACCCCGAGACAAGAAGGTGTGGGGCACGAGGTGGTGCCACCGCAAGAAGGGTGAGGGGGTCCGCAGCAGGTTCGTCGTGAAGCAGTTCAGGGACGCCCAGGCGGGGGATTTCTTCGCCTGCACCCCGCGCACGGAGGCTGTGCGCGTGCTGATGGCGGCGGCGCTGATGCTCAAGCACGTCGTCGTGACAACGGACTTCAGCGTGGCGTTCATGCACACGCCCGTGAAGGACGGCACCGAGATCTACGTGGAGATGCCGCCCGAGTACGGCATGGGGCATGGATACGTGTGGAGACTGAAGAGGTCTCTGTATGGGCTCAGAGAGGCAGCGCTACGATTCCAGGAGTTCCTGGAGAGCATCGTGGTCGGGATTGGATTCAAGGTCTGCAAGGCGGAGCCCACTATATACCATCGCATCGAGAAAAGCATCAGGGTCGTGGTCCACACGGACGATCCTCTTGCCTCAGGTCCCACGCGGGGAGTGTTCGACGAGTTTTTCGACGAGCTGGCCAAGCACCTCGCGATCAAGGGGCGGTACGTCCTGGGCGAGAACCCCGTGATCTACCTCGGCTCGTCGCTGCAGAGGTTCGGGGACGTGATCGTGGAGAAGAGCAAGCCCGGGTACGTCGAGAGCATCCTCGACGCGGCGGGGATGCTGGGCTGCAGGCCTGTGGGCACGGCTGGGGTCAGGCCAGACCTCACCCCGCCCGGAGCCGAGCAGCCGCTCAACAGCGAGGAGCACTCGCTGTACAGGAGGTGCTGCGGGAAGATCCAGTACGCGATCCCGCGGAGGCTGGGCGTGATGTACCCGCTGAAGGAGCTCGGTCGTCGGCTGAGCGAGCCGAGGGTGGCCGACATGAAGTGCCTGAAGCACCTCCTCCGCTACCTCAGCGGGACGGTCGACCTGGCCATGGTTCACCGCTCCACGAAGGACTACAAGCGCATCCGAGGTAGCACCGACTCGGACTGGGCGGGATGCCACGAGACCCGCAAGTCGACAGCATGCGGGATCGTGCGGTGGTGCGGGGTGGTCGTCAGTGCCTACGCCCGCGCGGAGTCCGTGCTCGCCCAGTCGAGCCCTGAGGCCGAGTACCTGGGGGCCGTGGAGCTGGCGGCGGAGATGCTGTGCGTGAGGGAGCTCGTCAAGTTCATGGGCTTCGACGCGTCGCTGGAGATCGAGTGCGACGCGTTCTCCGCCATCGCGATCGCCTCGCGGCGCGGACTCGGCAGGTTATGACATCTGGAGGTGAAGTGGCTATGGCTCCAGCAGCTAGTCGGTGCGGGCCAGATCAAGATCGTGAAGGTGAAGGGCACGGAGACCCTCCCCGACGTTGGGACGAAGTTCCTGGGGAGGGGTGCGGTCGAGAAGTGCCGCACCATGCTTGGTCTGGTCCCGATCGACGCCCTCGGGAATGGCATCGTGGCCGCCCTGAGCGCGTCCCGAGGAGCACGGTACCTGGCGACGTTCATGGTCCTCGTGAACGGCGTGAAGGCCCAGCCAGCCACGCCCGACGGCGGACCCGACCCACACCTGGCGATCGTGGTGGTCTGGTCGGTCCTCTGCATGCTCGTGGGCGTGATGCTGTGCTGGTGCGGCTGGTGCATGTGCCTATACCTCCCGAGGTCAGCTGCAGGACGGACGGGCAAGGGCTGCTCCAAGGGTCAGCCCAGTGAGAGCTCGGAGAGGGGCCGATCGGAGCCAGAACCCGATCCGCCTCCAGCACCCGACGCTCCCCGCGATCAATGTCGGGAGCCGTCGGAGCCGCGTGGCAGGGGCGTGTTGCTGTTCCACCTGGACACGGTCGGGGCCTCGATCCACTCGAGTCCGAGCTGCCAGGCTCTGCGCGATCGGCATCACCCGCTGGTGACGAGGAGCGGTTGCCTGATCTGCGCTCGGGTGCTGGGCCAGGGGGTGCGCATGCTGCACCACGCGGACAGTGTCGAGAGTGCGGTCCACGCCGACGCTGCCTGCCGCGGGTTGAGGTCGCGGAGGCGCCGTCTCGTGAGCCGCGGAGCGTGTGCGTTTTGCTTTGGGCATCGTGGCTAGCGCCTGCCCTGCTGCGCGTGCGCCCTCGGCAAGAGGCTCGAGGAGGGGTGTCGAGATATATCGCCCCCGACGCCCTTCCGTGCCTCCCCTACATATCCCTTTCCCGCTCTCACCCATGCACTGTACTGAAGCCGTTTTGGCGCTGAGGATTTGAGAGTGAAATGGATTGGCATCGTTTATTGCTGTCAAGAGCCCAGGCGTCGTCACCGCAAGGGACTGGATCAGTGCTCCAGCCATGTTTCGATGCGCGTTTGATAGGTAAACCAGACACCTATCTAGGACAACGGGCGAAATGGCCAGAGTGGTCGTTCGTCTTCAGGGCGTACTTAGCAGCACTAGACCCGCGCTGCCCAGCCCGCGGGCAGAGGCCACAGCAACAGTAGTGACGAATGCGTCCCTGGAGCCATGGGAGGCCAGTCTGTCGTCACAGCTGTACTACGTGATGGTAATGCTCTTCCGCGATGCTGCCCAGGACAAGATGTCTACCATTCCTCCCGGGGAGGGTCTGGAGGCGTGGCGGCAAGCCATCCTCGACTGGGGCCCGAAGATCCGGACGAGGAAGGTGGGGTCGCTCATCGAGATCCTCACTGCAAAACTCTCTGGGGACATCCCGCAGTCTCTCGACCAGTTCGAGCACCTGGTTCGCGAGTGCGAAGGACAGGCGGGACAACCTTTCGATGGGGACCTCGAGATTGGCATTGTGATTGTCAACATGGTAGACGCGACCGTCCAGCAGCACTTGATAAAGAACTCCGCCAGACTGGAGACGTGGAAGGCCATGAAGGAGGAACTCCTTGAAATGGCTAGAACAGAGCAGCACCTGAACTCTCAACCGAAGCCGGTGGAACTCGGCGCGACACCAACAGGCAAGAAGGGGGGCGGGAAAGGCAATAAAGGGGGGCGGAGGCAAAGGAGGAGACGGGAAAGGCAAAGGAAAGGGTTCAGAGCCCAACGGGAAGGCGAAGGCAGGAGCAGCTGAGAAAGACTGTTGGTGCTGTGGTAAGAAAGGCCACATCGCCGCAGAGTGCAAGAAGAAGGCCAAAGACGCCAAGGACAAGAAGAAGCTGGCAGCAACCCCGGAACGACCGGGAGGCAGCGACACTGCGGCTCCGCACGCCGCCTTGTTGCAGGACCGTGGCGAGGTCAGTCATGGCTTTCTGTTGCCAATGCTTCCTATGTTGGAGACAGACCACCTGGCGGCGCTCCAGGGACCGAAAAGGGTGATGGTGGACACCGGAGCGGGAGCATCTGTTTGCCCCGCGTCCTTCGACGCTGCCGCCGCGGCAGACGCGTCTGTCGAGCCTGTGACGCTTGCGACAGCCACAGGAGAGGAGGTCCGCCTACGAGACGGCAGGCGGTCCCACCTGCAAGCCGCCGACGGCGCGGGGGTCACGTTGAGGTACAGGTCAAGTGAACAGGTGACAGTGCCTGTGGTGTCTGCGTCGGACGCCTGCGACGCAGGGAACTGGTTGGTTTTCGGCCCCGGGGTTCATAAGGTCATCTCGTCGCGAGATGCCCAGGGCTTGCGCCAGGTAGCGCAGGCGACGCCTGGCCTAGACATGGTCAGAGACAGAGGCGTGTACTGGCTGGAGCTCTGGGACGAGCAGCCGGCAGGAGAAGCGCGACCTCTCTGCCCAGCGAAAGCTGCAAAGAAGGTGTTTACACCGCCAGCGGCTCAGGAACTGCAGGCAGCAGAAGGATACCCCACGGTGCAGGAAGGGGGCTCGAGCGGGAGCGCGGATCGGAATCCGCCCCTGCGGGCGCCCCGCGGGTCAGCGCCCGCGCCTGCGCGACCAGACAACCGACCGCCAACTCTGATGGTAGATCCAGAGGAAGCGAGGGGGCCCCGGGCGAAGAAGATTCCACCTACAGTCACGCAGGCTGAGTGGGACTCCCATCAGCTCACACACCTGCCATTTAGGTCGTGGTGTGACCACTGCGTGTCAGGGAAGGCCACGGAGGGCCCCCACGCGCAGCAGGAGCCACAGGCTGAGGGAGCAGTGCCCAAGATCTGCGTTGATTATCTTTTCTTAACGTCCCAAAGAGACGAGCAGGATATGCACGCTGTGCTGAACGTCTTGGACGCTAAGTCAGAAAGGGCGAAGACGACTACGCTCTAGCACTGATGAGCGAAGCTGTGCGCTTCTGCGGGCGCACGAATATGTTGCTGCTTTCTGATAGCGAGAGGCCAATCAATCGTCTGATCGATGTTTTCATCGAGACGCGCAGCAGCCAACATAACGCGTCAAAGCGCAACACGCCGAAGGAATCCTCACAGAGCGCAGGTCTCATCGAGCGCAGTAACTACGAGGTGGAGAAACAGTACAGGGCTTTGAAGCACAGGCTTGAGTCCGTGTACAAACAGGCGTTTCCTCTCAGTGACAAAATCCAGCCGTGGCTCGTTCGCCATGCTGGATGGTTGCTGGTTCGTTTTCTGGTGAAAGCAGACGGTCGAACTCCCTACAGCCAGTTGTTCGGGAAGGACTACAACGGCGAGATAGTGGAGTTTGGTGAGTGCGTGCACCACAAGTCGCCGCTATCCTCCGTGGGGAAGGCAGACGACAGGTGGCATCTCGGGGTCTGGCTCGGGAAGAGCATGAGAGCAGACGAACATCTCGTTGGTGCGTCCAGAGGAGTGCTCACGTGCAGGAGCATCTGGCGCAGGCCGGAGCAGCAACGCTGGGACAAGCAGCTCTTAGACGCTTTCGTCGGATCGCCCTGGGGACCGGTGCCGCCGGCAGCCCGGGAGCTGCCAGAGGGGCCTTCGAGGCCACGAGACGTGTGCATCACCTAGGACCGCATCATTCGGTTAGGCAAAACGCCTGACTGCCCCGGATGTAAGGCGCCAGGTGATGCGAGGCGCGCGCCTGCCTGTAGGGAACGCTTCGCGCGATTAGTCGCTGTGGAGAAAGAGGCGCAGGAAAAGGCCCAGGAGAAGGCCCGGGAGCAGCGTCAGAGAGCTGCTGCCCACGCGCCGCCAGCAGCGGCCCCTACGCCAGCACCACCCGCACCGCTGCCAGCACCGCAGGAGCCCGGAAGGCCCGGAGGCGCAGGGGAAGTGGCTCAGGAGCCACACCGTGCCGCACCTGCGTCTGAAGGCGTGCCAGACGTGCACATGCAGCAGCAGGAGCTGCCGCGACCTCTTGTGGAAGCCCCGGACCACGAGATGGACGAAGCAGGCGACGGTTCACAGGAGAAGCGGTCAAGAACGATCGCTGGACTGCCAACGCTGCACGAGCCCAGCTTGGTGGCGGCAGCTGTGGGAACAGCAGTTAGCTACCTCTGCTCAGCCATGGAGGGGGAGGACCCAGAAGTGGTTCCTATCAACATGGACTGGAGCAAAGAGTACTTCTCAACGAAGGCCGGTGTCAAGCTTGACCCGCAGAAGGTGTACGAAGGCAAGATCAAGGAGATGAGGCAAATCGATGCTTACGAAGTTAAGCATGATATCTCCTGGTCAGATGCCAAGCAGATGGGGCTCAAGCTGGTCAACGCCAAGTGGGTGCTTGAGCCGAAGCCTGTGGAGGCGGACCCGGAGGCAGTGCGAGCGCGCCTGGTTGCAACAGAGGTGAACGCGTACGCCAGAGAGGACGTAACGCAATCCACACCACCAGTAAAGGTGTTTAGGATCATCGTAAGCCTCGCTGCGTCCAAGCAGCGCCCAGACGGCACTTGGGCAAGGCTCGTGGCAGGCTGCGACGTTTCGGTTGCATTCTTTCGCGCAGCGTCGACGGGCAAGACAGCGGTCATCCCGCCAGCTGACGTGCGGAAGGAAGGCTTCGTGTGGTTGTTGCGCAAAGCCATGTGCGGCACCCGGGTGGCGAGCAAGCAGTTCGGCAGTTACGTGATCAAAGCTCTCGTGGGTGAGGGTTTCGTCATGATCATGGTCGTGCCCGTGGTGTTCGTACATCATGCGCTGGACATCAGCTCGGGTGTCACGGAGACGATTTTCAGGCGGAGGCAGAGAAGGAGGCGCTGGGCGAACTTGTCAAGATCATGCTGCGCCACTTCGAGGTCAAGATACCCCCTCGTATCGGACCGCCGAAGCACGGAGGGCAAGCCACGGAGCTGAAGCACCTCAAGCGTACGATCCGGTGGACCAGTTGCGGATTCGAGTGGGAGGGCAATTTGGAGCACCTCACCAGCCTGATGGAGTTGCAAGGCCTGCAGCCTGGATCGCCCCGGGGCATGACAACGCCCTCGTCGAAGGACACCGGGAAAGGTGATCGAGACATCACAGATCCTCTGGCGACGGGGCCGGCGCAATTCTTTAGGGCAGCGGCCGGTACCTTGCAGTACCTAGCAGAGGATGTCTCGAGTGTCAAGTTCACCACGATCACGGTCATGGAGGGGATGGCGACGCCTACCAAGATGCACGCGCTGCGTCTGAACAGGTGTGCTCGTTACCTCCTTGATCATCCCTGCGAGATCTGGATCTTCGCGTGCCAGAAGATGCCGACGCACCTGCCTGAGTATTGCGATTCTGATTGGGCCGCCGACAGAGAGACGAGGAAGAGCATGTCATGTGTAGTTGAACGCTTTGGAGAGCACTTGATAGATATGAGCGTGTCCAAACAGTCACTGCTTGCGCTGAGCTCTGGGGAGGCAGAGTTTTATGCCATCGTCAAAGGCGCGGCGATGGGTGTACAGACGACGCAGGTCATCGAGGCAATGACGCGTCTGCCGTGCAAGTTGGTGGTTTTGAGCGACTCTTCGAAGGCCCGGAGCATCTGTAACGGGCAGGGCAGTGGCAAGGTGCGCCATTTATCTGTGAAGGACCTGTGGGTGCAGGAGTTCTTCCGAGGGAAGCGCGGGGAGCTGCTCAAGGTTGACGGCTCTGTCAACTGGGCAGACCTCGGTACGAAGGCACATCCGAAAGCGCGGCTGGACCAGCTACTCGAGATGATGCCGCTACGAAGGCGAGAGCCTTTGAGAGAGGGCTTGAGCACTGGAAGGGTGACGGCATTCATAGCAGTGTTGACCCAAGGCCGCGAAAGCCTACGAAGGTGGGCTGCGGCGGCCTGGCGTGGCTCGGAGGCCCGCCCAGGGACCCGGCCGGAGCACGGAGTGGCCCCGTTGAGCCACCCGCGGCCCGGGCGAGAACACGAGCAGCGTGGTTGAAGTCGCGTCAGCCACGTACGCTGCGCTGCTGTGCATGCTGGCGGGCATGGCCCTGCTGCGGCCCAGAGAGCCGCGTGGGCAGGGAGACCCTCCTGTGGCTGAGGTAGCCGGGGAGGGGCACCGACAGGGGGGATCATTGGCAGTGGCTCAGGAGCCGCGCCGGGGAGGCGCCCAACAAAGCAGCAGCAAAGCAGGCTAAGAAACTAACCTTTTGGTAGAAGCAGCAATGCCCGCAAACCCTAGTCTACCTAGGTACCCGCTTCTGGACTGATCGGGTTGGGCGTGTCTCTGCATGGCTGGAGTCTGATCAACTCCCGTGTGGTGACGACAGAGAGGGGCGACCTTTGAGCATCGGTAGATGCAGGGGCTGCTCGGGCAGCTGGCCCGACCACCTTTAGTTTTACAGTAGACTGCACCACTCTTCTCCAGGCGTGGCTCCGGAGAGCCACCGGCACTAGGTTGCGGTCTAGTGAAGAGCCCTGACAAACACGAACGAAGGCCATGTCAGGCTACAGACGCCTACATGGTGGAGGGGTGTTGAGGCATGTTCAAGGCATTTGCTGATTGTGTGTACCGGAGCTCTTGACCCCATACGTTGTGTGGTCATATGGAGCTTTCGACCCCATGTAGCAATGCAGTGTGGCAGGTAGCATGTGGGTAGGTAGGTAGCATCAGCAGTGTAGCATATAGTGGAGAGAGTTGGACGGCAGCCCTCTTTGGCCCGTGCGCTGAAAAGGGCCCGTGCGCATCCGCGCGCGCTCCGACAGTTTGGGATTAGAGAGTAAAGGCGCGCGCGACATCATATTCTCTTTTCTCCCTATCCGCTTAACGGACTGTCGAACCTCATACTTTGACGGCTGACGCCGTTCACATTGCCGCCATGGTCTCGCGGGGATCTTCGAGCCCCAGACGTTCCCAGTACATCCTGATCATATTGGCCCCATTTGGCATAAGTTGGGTAAAGATGGGTTATCAGCCGAAAGTGCCGATCCAAGGATGACCGACCATGTTGGTCATCTTGGGGCTCATAAGATACACGTCCCGCCAGAACTGACGAACGCGGGAATTGACCTTGGCTTAACAAAACAAGGCAAGTATGATATTCAGGTCGATAGGCCGATGTCCTCGACCTACGGACGCATCCAAGATCCAGAAATGGCAGACGGCATGCCCGTCAACCGCGGAAGGCGGGATACACCCGTGCCCGAAGGTGATTCCGACGAAGAAGACGAGTGGTATGGGGGCAGAAGCCGCCCCTGGGCCCATCTGTCGGGCGATGTTGCCCAGGCATGCGTTGTCCACTCCAGGTCGTCGGATGAGGAAGGCATGGTAAGAACTCCTAAGAGCATCAAAGAAACATTCTCCGTGTCGACCTTTTCGGGGATGATCGAGACGTCCATGCTCGAAAGGACGCCAATTCAGGAGACTGCGGGCCATGTCCAAAGTCCAGCCAGGGGGCCCATGTGGGAAGACAGTGAATACCAAACTGGGACCCTAGGACCATCGTTCGGGGGGCTCGCGATGGAATCGCGGCTCGGCAAGACCCCGAGGGAAGACCCGGCCGACATTGAGGTGTCGCCTTGTGAAAAGCGCCCCAAGATCGAGACCGGCGGGCCGGGCGTCCACGAAGTGCCCGGCCCAGTGCCAGGGGTCCAACGCCGGGGAAGGTAGCTCCTTGAGTCCCCGCGCTCCATCTCCCAGAGATCAAGCTCGGGAAAGGGTGGCCCCAGCCGCGCCCCGAGGAGCTCCCGACATATTTCGTTCATATCACGGTCGTCAACGTCCAGGTACGTGATCAAGGAACCTTGTGCCAGCTGGGGGCCGAACTGCGGGGGGGGTCCCAAGTGCTGCAGTCCCGGCCGTGCCCTCGACAATGGACCGTGCAAGAAGCCAGTGTGCCGGGGCTGCTCATCCCAATGTCCGCTGTGCAACTTGAACTACCTGTGCCTCGAGTGCGCGCCCCTGGAGCCGCGCAATTGCTTCGCTCTCAAGAACCGCGAACGGGAGCAGCAGCAAGACATGAAGCAGCAGCGAAGAGAACAAGAACGAATTTCCGAAATCGTTGCCATGCGAACGATGATGGTCGATATGGAAGCGTGCCAGAAGAACCAGACCGACATGAGTGCGCGACAAAATGAATGCGACATGCAGGAAATCGTTCCGAGAGAAAGAGGGGGGGCAACGGCCCTCCATGAGGCTGCGCTTTCGGCGGGCCGCGAGGCTAAGGAACAGGCGAGAATATGGCGGGCAGTAGCTGAACAAGCGCGTCAAGCCCTTCGGGGAGCTCGAGACAGGGGAACCCAGCTCGAGAGCGGTATTCGTCTGAAGTTACAGGAAGCCACTGCGCCCCATGAACAGACGGTCTCTAGGGCGGAGCGGGTCGCCGTGAAGTCGATCGTTGAGAAGCGCAGGGGCACCCAGAAACAGCATATGCATCAACGCGGGGTGAAACTCAGCGGTGCCTGGGGCGGTGATGGAAGCAAGGATTCGATCACCATGAAGGACGGGCGGCTCAAGAAGTCCGTCGTCTGTCGACGCTGGCTCAAAGACCAATGCCCATGCAGTCGGAATGATTGCCGATGTCTGCATCCCAATGCGGCGACGCCCGCGCAGCTACAGAAACGCTGACACATCCAGGTCGCCACGCCAGGGTCCACCCATGGAGGGCGGACTGGGAGAGGCCGGGGAGGCAAAGCCGATTCTAGAGGCAAAGGCAGGGGAGACAGAAAAGAGAAAGGCAAGGGCAAAGGCGATAGTAAAGGTGGAGAGGCTGACTGGCCCAAGAAGCAGAACGGAGGCTGTAGCAGCAACCCACCGCCGAATAATGAAACAAGACTTGCTATGCTTTCATCCGAGGCCCCCAGCATTGCGACGGCTCATGCGGTCGCGAACGTCGCCCGCTGTCGAAGCAGGAAAAGCTGGAGCGGGACGCCTGGGAACAGAACCTGCAAAAGGCCGGTGAGGGTCTTCCTTGCAGCCAGACTGCGGAGCAGACGGCTGCAGCCGAGAAGAGTGTGAAGGCTTCGAAGCAATCGGCCGATCCCGCGCCTGACGGAGGAAAGTCGCAGGGTGGCGAGACAAGTGGGCGGAAAGGCAAAACCAAGGCGGAGTGCGGGTGCCATCTGGACGGTCAGACATGCCCTTTTGGAGACAAGTGTCGGCGCGAGGCCAACGTCCCCGGGCATTCTTGATCCGGGGGGGCGGCGTGCAGCGCCCATGGTGCTGGCGCCGCCCTGGCGGGGGGCGTATCGGGGCGACCCTGTGCAGTTCCCGGAATCTGAGGCGCAGCTGGCTGTTCCAGCTGTGCAATTCGCCGGGTCGCGATCCCGTGCGATACCACAAGAGCATATGGCCGGCTCTATAAACACACGGTCATGCGAGATAAACGGCCAACGTTATTTTGCTGGCATGATGCACGGAGCGGCCACTATAGACCCCCCGTGCCATTCAGCCGTCGCAAATTTCGACGACAGTTCCTTCATAGGAATGCTGAGGTGCATGACGGCGGTCGGGATTTCATCGTATCCCGAGGGGGCGCTGGGCCTGCTCAAGTCGGGGAAGCCCGAACAAAGCTCACTGCGCCATGCTGCAGGGAGCAGTAACAAGCGGCGGCCGAGGGTTGCCGACAATAACAGAAAGGTGAGATCTCACCCGTCAACGCATATCCCCGCTCTGTGGACACTGAGGGAACTGAGGAAGGGGGGCCAATGCCGATCGTTACGAAGCACGGTGACCCATTCTGCTTCCCGAACAAGTGGCGGAATTGGCGTGACAAGATTGCCCGAGTGCGTCAGCAGCTCGCCCACAATGATGCGAGTGAGCTGGAGCACGAGGTATGGAGGCTGTGGCTGGACTGGGAACAAGAGCCTGCGTCCGAGGACGGATCCGGCAGCGTTGCTAGCGAAGGCCACGCCGACGCTGCATCTGCTAAGATACAAAGTCTAAGAAAGGGGAGCAACGAAGCAGTGAAACTCGGATCGATGCGTTTTATCATTGACACCGGCTGCGGTTCCAACCTCGTCGCTCTCAAATATATCCAGAAAACAGGCGCCACTGGGAGGATGAAGGAACTGGAGGTTCCAATCACATTTAACACGGCAGGAGGGCTTTCCAGCGCTCTTGGAATCGTGAAGGTGGCCTGCGACCGGCTGATGAATGGAAAGTTCAGAGCGATCGTACTGCGTGAAACACCTAGCGTGATATCCGTGGGCGAATTTTGCATGGATAACGGCTATAGCTTCTACTGGAAGAAGGGGAAAACGCTGTATCTTCTCCTGCCCAACGATATGAGGTTGGACCTAACGGTGGATGACGAAATACCGTGTCTCAACATTGGGGGGAGTGAGGCTTTGGGTCGAGTAGACGAGGCAGCTCCCACCTACCCTGCGGGGTTAGCGCGATGGTCTTGTGTGGAGGCTAACGCGAAGTCTTACCTGGCAGACCCCGAGAAAGCGGGTGGTTTCCCGCTCCGGGCTGTTAGGTATCGCGCGACTCTGGACCTGCACTCGCATGAGGTGGTGACAGAAGATTCGAGCGTGGACGGCAAACTAGAAGACCGTCCCGTTTGTCATCACCGAGGCGTGCCTAATAGAGCCGACGTCGACGGTAGGGGCATCGTCAATTTTTTAATTATGAGCCTCAGAAGGCGAGCCGGGAAGGCTGGAAGCCTGGCCCAACCGGGATCGTCAATAAGATGCCTTCGATTCCCGCATGCCTCGACAATGCCATTGGTTGTGGGGGGTATGCTGCTCCTGCGCCTGCAGAGGGATCATCATGATAACAAGCGGAGGCACTGGGT